TTGCGTCTGTAACCAACATATAGCAAGGGACAAGTAATTGCCGACGAGGTTTTGTCGCCACGAAAATATGCACTGCCGTCTCCTGATCGCTTTACAAGAGTCGCACATTAGCAACAAACATCGCCACACAAGCTCCCCCCACAAATACCCACCCATTTCGCCGTCTGCTCGTACAAAAGCCTTTTTTACACGTAACGAGGGCATGCGAAATACTTGAGCGATTGAATCCTCGGCACCCTCAAATCTTGTGCGACTCTAACGAGCTTCGTTGTATCCCTCGATGTGCCTCGGTTCCCTCTACATCCCACTCTGTAAATGCTCTTATATAACTGAACTAATAAATTGTATAGCAAAACAAGTGCTGATTTCCACAAGATTAGGAAAGCAACTACCAATACAAGTCATATGCGATTGGTGCAACGACGACAAGTGCAATATTTTCCATACGTACAGCACCCGTGTGCGCAACCCGGCCAATGAAAATAGTCGCAGTCACAATGTGAAACCTTTTTAGTCATCACTAGAAATGGTGTGTTCCACGGCATTGTGCTCCTGAGTGATCGACGACCACTTGCGAGCGGAATGCGACAGAAATACCAGCAAATCTTACCATTGCGATCCGCCTATTTACGGACTGACGCGGAAACATCACGAGAGCCAATCGATACAAGCCATATGCGATGACGGAATCATATAGATTTCCGTTACGTACACCTCCTCATCGACGCGTTCTGTACTTTCGATATGATGATGGTTTTTATCTTTGTTTACGTTATTTGTTGTTTCCAATTTCATGTGGTTTCAAGTCGGTCTACAGCTGAATCAATTAAAGCCTGACCGGCAGGTTGCAATTCTATTTTTCTCAAGGTGCTGCATCTTTAGGTCCCTGTAACCGAACAGCCAGCGTCAGACTACAAAGAGCTCGCTATGGGTTTAGGCCTAGCAGGGCTAGTAGGATTCTCGAAACTTGGCAGTGATGCACTCTTGCCAAGTATCGAAGGGATGATGAGGACTGGGTAGGTTTGGGGTAGAAACCTTCGTGTTTCTTTTTAACCACAGGCGGGTATACCCGAAAAATGTCTTGTAGCCATTTGTTTTGTACCACGAATTGGCGAGATACGTGTACCTGTTCTCGGCAAAGTATAATAACTGTATATTGTTTATGAACTTTTATGTCCGGATGTTTCTTGACGAAAAAAACCAACTAGCTCAGCCTTGCAAACTTGACAGAGTTGGCGTAGTGGATCGCTACGGAAGGGAGAGGCGCTAAAGTTGAGAGCTCTGCCAAGTTGTGAAGCTGCTTGTTTGCGTGAAACTAAAGCTTGCTTGGTGAAGCCTAACCCTCGCTTGAAGAGTTTGCCTCATATTTATTTCGTTAGCCAATCATAGTTTGCTGCCTCACCTACCTCAACAGTGCCAATATGCAACCTGCCGGTCGGGCTTTAACGACTTAAAGTCAATTTTTGTTTTCTTCTAGCAGAAACGCATCATTCAACGTACGCACCTGAAACACAAAATGAACATGCCATGCTAACACATCGCGGCATGCGTATGTGGACCTTATCGCGGCTAACGATAATGTTCTCACCCCTGCCAGATGCGTATACGACCATGCCCCCGCCCCTTCCAGCTTTGCATGCAACAGCTCTCCTATCTTTTTGGGAATGTTATAAGTAAATTTTCCCGGTGCGTACCTCTCTATGCGCTAAGTGTCTTACTGTATTCCAATATTCATGGAGTTTGCACAACGGGAATACAGCATGTACGTATACAGTTGTTTCGTATTTCGTGGGCATTTCCCTACAAATATACATAGCTCGCGGTAATTTAATACCCAGTGTTTTCACAGGGGGTGCCGCCGAGAGGGTATCCACTCCCTGAAAGCAACTTTTGAAGACCAAATCCGGATACCCTTGAAAAATAAATTTAGTTTGAGCTCCTATACAAAACATTTACGACTCAATTGAGTGTTTCTTGAGTCAGGAAATCCTACGTTAGCTAAGGCAGTGCTAAAAGTTTTTGCCCGGGTGGAGTCTGCTGCGCTTAGGCTGTAGGAACAAGGGAGTGGATGGTCAGGGCGGAATCCGCCCGATTTCAGGCTGTATTTTTAACGCGATCTTAGTGTACTAGTTTCAACACCACCACCTCCATCATTCGGTGGCGGGAAGCAATGATTCGATCCGAAACCTGCAAGGGGTTTGGGCCAGGGCTTCAGATAGGTTTCTTAGCCAGTCGTCAGATCCGGGCTCCCTACTGAAACCACCCGTTAAAGCCCGTTTCAAATCCAAATCATACCTGTCAGGGTCCATTTTCAGGCCAAAATCCGCGAAAACATAGGCTTACAACTCGTTTTTGAGCCGAAATCCATCCGTGAACCACCGGCTTCGGTGAGAATCGAATCCGTAAAAAAGGGAGTTCCATCCGAAATCCACCCGTAAAGTACCAAAGTCTGGATAATTAGCCGTCAAACATAGGCCCTGTCTTGGGCAAGAGGTGCAGCAGCGCGGACCAAATGCCTGCTCCAATTGCTGCCTTGGGGGATCCTGGAGCTGAGCTGAACCAGAAGCGCCACGCAACGCAACACGCGAGCGAGCCTTTCCTTTCACTTGTGCGGCTCTGCAGGGAGCAACCAGCAACAAGGGACCGAAATGCAAATCTTTCCGGAAATTGTGCTTGTCGAAACAGTGCAGCGAGCGATGACACGAGTGTGGGTGGGCTTGGTTTGTTGGGCAGGTTCATTCAATCGAACCGTTTTGTCAATGTCGCCGAGAATGTGCGACGTGGCAACTTCGCCAACAGCGTTTGAAACGGAAGTCTGCCCTGCGCGAAGCAGAAAAGGCACAGAAAACTGCCCAGCCACCGACTACCCTTCAAAAGCCAAACGGGAGGGTCGCTTCGGGCGATGTGAAACTCGAAGGTGGGGTACTCGAACGAAGAGAGTCCCTTCCTGCCTTGTGTCCCTACCTTATCATCCCTGCTTCACCTTCTTGTTTCGGACAAGCGAGCACTTCTGACTCTCAAGCGTTCGCCTTTTTGCAATAGTAGATTTAAGACGCGTCCGTCATTCCACCTGGAGACGCTACTAATAAGCATGGTCAGAGGCATGGGCCGCAGCGTACGGGGTTCTGAAGTCCGGTCGCGGTCAGAAGCTGATCCTCTTCGAAAGCACGGAAATGGAACTGAAGGTGCTAGCGCTGACACCGAACAACGTTTTCAGCGGGTCAGCTGTACAGCAGGATTGCTTTTGCCGTTCATTTTCTCCCGCCGGAAAAGTAACCCTAGGACAGGTAGTATCAAGGGTGAGAGAGTACTTACCGCCGCTGGAGATTGCTACAGACGCCCGAGGAACGATGAGTTGGGGTTACTAGGCGGCCATAGTTCCGGAGGAGAAACTATAGCTGTTCCGGCGACCAAAGAGAACCCGACGCCGAAGGAATGTGAAGAGATGCTCGTCTCTCCTCGGCAAGCGGAAGGCGTTCAACCGACGGCAGCCGCAGCCGAGAGCCGCGGTGCGAAAGCCGCGGCGTCATGGCATGCCGCGTTTGCGCGGCGTCGAGCAACTGTGGAGGGCCGCGCTGGCGTCAATCCTCGCCGACGCAGCGACAGTTTCAAGGGCAGCAGCATCACCGGGGCAGGCAGTAGCTGCGGCGGGAGTAGTTTCGGGAGCAGCGGGTGGGGCAGCAGCAGCATGAGTCGCAGCAGCAGCATGAGTCGCAGCAGCAGCGGCAGCCTGGCTCGGTCCGACAGCACGGGGTTCGGGCCGTCTCGGTTCGTGCTGCGGCAGCGGTACGAGGACATCGGGCTGCGGTACCTGGTGCACAAGGAGCAGCTGGGAACCGGCGAGTACGGCGCCGTCCGGCCGTGCGTCGAAGCCGACTCTGGGCGCCTGCTCGCGTGCAAGACCATCCGCAAGCAACAGATCACGGTACTACGACCCGCCTTCCCTCACACAACTTGTCGTATTCCCTGGATTCTACCCTCCATCGTGACTTGTCTCTCAGTTCCCTGTCCATCCTGTCGTAAGCAAATCCTCACCGTCTCGCTCGGCCTGTGTGTTGTGCAGAAGCACGAGGACGCCGAAGCCATCCGAACGGAAGTGGCGTGTCTGTGGGAGGTGAGGGGCCACCCGGGCATAATCACGATGCACGACGCACTGGAGGACGGCAAGCGCGTGCACCTCGTCATGGAGCTCTGCGAGGGGGGCGACCTGTTCAGGCGAGTGAACCAGCGTGGGGCGTTGAGTGAGCGCAGCGCCGCCAGGGTGTGCAAAGCGCTGGCGCTGGCGGTGTTGCACTGCCACCGGCATGGGATCATGCACCGCGACATCAAGCCCAAGAACGTGCTGCTCCTAGACGACTCGGACGAGCCCCACATCAAACTCAGCGACTTCGGTGTGGCCACTTTCTTTGAGGATGGAGACTTGTTGACTGAGTTCGCCGGCACAACACAGTACATAGCGCCTGAGGTGTGGAAGGGGCAATATGGGCGTGAAGCTGATATCTGGGGACTTGGAGCGCTCCTGTATTTCTGTATAGCAGGCGTGTCGCCTTATCGGGCCCCAACAAAGCAGCAGGTAGCAGAAGCGGTGCTAACACAAGGGGTGGACTTCAGCCTGCCGTGTTGGAGAAGAGTCACTCCGGAATGTATAGATCTGATTGCTAGCATGCTCAACAAGGACCCTTACGGCCGGATCACACTGGTTGAGGTTCTGCAACATCCATGGGTTAGGAGGAGACATGCCAATGCATGACCATATGAAATTGATAAGTGTTCAGTGTATAGTGCATCATTATTATTGAGTGTTCCCAGCTTCACCATTCCCCAGTCTCTGCTGACACCTTGAGATTGTCTTCCCTCCTCTAGCCAGCCCATCTAAGCACAACCAACCCAAGGGGTGTCACGTATGTCCACAGAGACGGACCGTTCTAAAGTTTATTCCACCTTTATAGAACACAAAGTATCTTACTCAACCGCAATCCAACGTGCAATAGAGACAATACCTAAGTTCCGCTAGCCACCCAGCTGCCACACGAAGCTAGCAATGGAGGGACGAAGTCACTAATTAGTTTCCGCATCCTAATCGCCTCGCCTGTCCTTTCCCAGCGCGGGTCCTTGCAACAGCAACTCTTCACAGCAACACACACCTAAAGTTGTCACCTAAAGTTTCCTGCTGTCTGTCCGCGCGATGTCACACAGCAATAGTCTGTCCGTACACACTGCGTATGAAACTATGAGCTATAGTCCACAGTTTCCTGCTGCTACACCAGCTCATCTTCCGGTGTGCATGGCCCTCAAGAGGTAGTCGCGTGGGTGATGCGCGTCATCAGCTAGCTGTGCGCAGCGAGCCTGTCGTCATGGCGGCACCCCACCGCTCGACTCCGTGCAGCCGCCTGTCTCGCTCGCTGACGCGCGGCGACCTCTATTCCGCAGACGATGACGCTCAGGTGGACAACAGCCGGCCGTTAACGGCGTCGTCTGCCACGCGAGATCCCCTGGAAGGCGGTCAGTGCTCGGAGCCCGGTCGTCACGATGACGTGTCGGACTCCGTGAGTGCTTCGCGGGACGTGTCGCGTTCATTCGCCGCCACGTCACGCATTCCAGCAAGTGTCCAGCCATCGCTTAGGTTGTCAGCATCGCACAATGGATCGCAAGAACCGTCGGCGACGGCGTCGCAGTCGAGCGAGCGGCATTTGCAGTCGCAAGTGCGTGCGGCGGAGGAGTCTCGGGAGCTGCAGCAGCTGTGGGGTTCGCTCGCCGCCGACGCGTCCGACAGAGCTTGGGATTCGGTGGATAATGCGGAGCCGTCCAACGCGGAAGCCGCACGGACACGGCGGGAAGTGCGAGTGCGGATGGACGCGGAGAAGGCTGACGACGGCGACGACGATCTCGGGTCGTGCCGGTCGGACCGATCGAGCGCGAGCTGGTCGAGGCGGCAGAGCCCGCGCGGCAGGCGAAGCATGCGCGCGAGGGGGCAGCTGAAGTGGGGCGAGCACCTGTGGCGCGCGAGGTCGGTGCCGGAGAGAATGACGCGCACGTTCACGCTCAAGGACTACATCGCGCAGCCCATGCCCGCGCATGCGCTCGGCGCGCCCTCCGACCCGCCCACGGACCGCGAGGCGGCGGAGGCGCGGGCGTTGGACGTGCAGGTGCAGGTGTTCCGGCGCGTGCTGCGCGTGATGCGCGCGGTGCGCATCCCCGTGGTGCACCCGTACTCGCAGTTCCGCCGCGACGTCAACCTCCTCATCGCGCTCTGCATCACCTACAACGTCGTGAGTCCACCGCCCGCCACCCAGTCCTTCAGGCGAGGCGGGCACAGGCTGGGTTTCGTGAAAGAGTGCTTGGCAGGATGCCCGTGGGGGGAGGTGCTGTGAGCCGCTGTCAGCGCTTGCCCTCTTCCCCTTCCTCTCCGCTCCGCCGCTCCGCCGCTCCCCACCCCCACCCCCACAACCCCCCCTCCATGCCCCCTCCCCCTGTGCGAGGGTGGTTGCAGTGGGAGGTGTTTTTCCAGGTGGCGTTCAACCTGCGCGCGCAGGGCGCGTGGCAGATCGTGGACGCGTGCCTCTCCGCCATCTTCCTCACCGACGTCTTCCTCGGCTTCAAGACGGGGTGAGACAGGGGTGAGAGGGGGGGTTGCAGCTCTCCTCGGGTGAGAGGGGGGGTTGCAGCTCTCCTCGGGTGAGAGGGGGGGTTGCAGCTCTCCTCGGGTGAGAGGGGGGGTTGCAGCTCTCCTCGGGTGAGAGGGGGGGTTGCAGCTCTCCTTGGGTGAGAGGGGGGGTGCCAGCTCTCCTCGGGTGAGAGGGGGGGTTGCAGCTCTCCTCGGGTGAGAGGGGGGGTTGCAGCTCTCCTCGGGTGAGAGGGGGGGTTGCAGCTCTCCTCGGGTGAGAGGGGGGGTTGCAGCTCTCCTCGGGTGAGAGGGGGGGTTGCAGCTCTCCTCGGGTGAGAGGGGGGTTGCAGCTCTCCTCGGGTGAGAGGGGGGGTTGCAGCTCTCCTCGGGTGAGAGGGGGGGTTGCAGCTCTCCTCGGGTGAGAGGGGGGGTTGCAGCTCTCCTCGGGTGAGAGGGGGGGTTGCAGCTCTCCTCGGGTGAGAGGGGGGGTTGCAGCTCTCCTCGGGTGAGAGGGGGGGGTTCAGCTCTCCTCGGGTGAGAGGGGGGGTGCAGCTCTCCTCGGGTGAGAGGGGGGGTGCCAGCTCTCCTCGGGTGAGAGGGGGGGTTGCAGCTCTCCTCGGGTGAGAGAGGGGGTTGCAGCTCTCCTCGGGTGAGAGAGGGGGTTGCAGCTCTCCTGTCACCTTTGCCTCCGCTGTGTGACGCATGCTGTCGATTGCTGATGCCCATGTGTCATGTGACATTGGCTGTTCTGCCCCGTTGCCACGTCCCCCGCGTGCCACATGGGCTGCATGGCTGGGTGGCAGGTACGTGACGCGTGAGAAGCACATGGTGATGGACGACGGCATGAAGGTGCTCAGGCCGCAGCAGATCGTCATGGACCAGGTATGGACCAGGTATGGGCCAGGTATGGGCCAGGTATGGACCAGGTATGGACCAGTCCGATGGAACACCAGTTAGGTGCCAGGTTGTCAATACGTGGCAGCAACTATGTAGCGACACCTGTGAAAGTTAGTTTTTGTAGAGTGCTTGTAAGACTCATGAATAAAATTTTGGCGGTAACCGGTTTCGGCTCGAAGCCTTCGTCAGACCACAGAGTCCTAATGAGAACAAACACTACTTATATGCCTAGATGATGTCGCCCAGGATTCATCTCGCGCGGGGAAACCGTCGCGGAGAAAGTGGGGACGCAACAAAAACGTAATAAGAGCAAACAGTAAAAAACTACTGTATTCTAGCACTTATGAGCAGAAACAAAAAAGTTCCCAATTCTTTTTGGCAGCCTCCATGCGATAATAGCTCTCCTTGAAGCGAAGGTGTTGTGTGACATTGTAACGAGGTGACTTTTGAGTCGACTCAAAAGGTATGGACCAGGTATGGACCAGGTATGGACCAGGTATGGCCCAGGTATGGGCCAGGTATGGGCCAGGTATGGACCAGGTATGGACCAGGTATGGGCCAGGTATGGACCAGGTATGGGCCAGGTATGGACCAGGTATGGACCAGGTATGGACCAGGTATGGGCCAGGTATGGCCAGGTATGGGCCAGGTATGGGCCAGGTATGGGCCAGGTATGGATCAGGTATGGACCAGGTATGGACCAGGTATGGACCAGGTATGGGCCAGGTATGGACCAGGTATGGACCAGGTATGGACCAGGTATGGACCAGGTATGGGCCAGGTATGGACCAGGTATGGGCCAGGTATGGACCAGGTACGGACCAGGTATGGACCAGGTATGGGCCAGGTATGGACCAGGTATGGATCAGGTGGACCAGGTATGGACCAGGTATGGACCAGGTGGACCAGGTATGGACCAGGTATAAACCAGGTATGTATGGACCAGGTATGGACCAGGTATGGGCCACGTATGGGCCAGGTATAGACCAGGTATGGACCAGGTATGGACCAGGTATGGACCAGGTATGGACCAGGTATGGGCCAGGTATGGACCAGGTATGGGCCAGGTATGGACCAGGTATGGATCAGGTATGGACCAGGTATGGACCAGGTATGGACCAGGTATAAACCAGGTATGTATGGACCAGGTATGGACCAGGTATGGGCCACGTATGGGCCAGGTATGGACCAGGTATGGACCAGGTATGGACCAGGTATGGGCCAGGTATGGACCAGGTATGGGCCAGGTATGGACCAGGTATGGACCAGGTATGGGCCAGGTATGGGCCAGGTATGGACCAGGTATGGGCCAGGTATGGACCAGGTATGGACCAGGTATGGGCCAGGTATGGGCCAGGTATGGGCCAGGTATGGACCAGGTATGGACCAGGTATGGACCAGGTATGGACCAGGTATGGGCCAGGTATGGGCCAGGTATGGACCAGGTATGGGCCAGGTATGGACCAGGTATGGACCAGGTATGGACCAGGTATGGACCAGGTATGGACCAGGTATGGATCAGGTATGCACCAGGTATGGATCAGGTATGCACCAGGTATGGGCCAGGTATGGGCCAGGTATGGACCAGGTATGGACCAGGTATGGACCAGGTATGGGCCAGGTATGGGCCAGGTATGGACCAGGTATGGGCCAGGTATGGACCAGGTACGGACCAGGTATGGACCAGGTATGGGCCACGTATGGACCAGGTATGGATCAGGTGGACCAGGTATGGACCAGGTATGGACCAGGTGGACCAGGTATGGACCAGGTATAAACCAGGTATGTATGGACCAGGTATGGACCAGGTATGGACCAGGTATGGACCAGGTATGGACCAGGTATGGACCAGGTATAGACCAGGTATGTATGGGCCAGGTATGGACCAGGTATGGACCAGGTATGGACCAGGTATGGACCAGGTATGGACCAGGTATGGACCAGGTATGGGCCAGGTATAAACTAGGTATGTATGGACCAGGTATGGACCAGGTATGGGCCACGTATGGGCCAGGTATGGACCAGGTATGGACCAGGTATGGACCAGGTATGGACCAGGTATGGGCCAGGTATGGACCAGGTATGGATCAGGTATGGACCAGGTATGGACCAGGTATGGACCAGGTATGGACCAGGTATAAACCAGGTATGTATGGACCAGGTATGGACCAGGTATGGGCCACGTATGGGCCAGGTATGGACCAGGTATGGACCAGGTATGGACCAGGTATGGACCAGGTATGTATGGACCGGGTATGGGCCAGGTATGGACCAGGTATGGACCAGTTATGGACCAGGTATGGACCAGGTATGGGCCAGGTATGGGCCAGGTATGGACCAGGTATGGACCAGGTATGGACCAGGTATTGGCCAGGTATGGACCAGGTATGGACCAGGTATGGGCCAGGTATGGACCAGGTATTGGCCAGGTATGGTTCAGGTATGGACCAGGTATGGGTCAGGTGGGTCACCTCATGACAGACAGGTGTTTCAGCGCATCTCAGCACCAATTCATGCGCCTCACTCTACTGGCTGTCTTCTCTTTCTCACGAATCTCCTCGCAGCGGCCTTCTTGCCCCTCCTAGTGCTGCCTCCCCCATTTCCCCATCCCCTCTGCTCCCATCCCCCCTCGCTGCTCTACCCCCCCAACCCACCCACCCACACCCCCCCCCCTCCCCCTGTAGCGCAAGGTGGTGTGGCACTACCTGCGCACGTGGTTTGCGTTGGACCTGCTGTCCTCGCTGCCCTTCGACCTCCTCACCTCGCTCGCCTCCGACTCCCCCGCCGGCTTCTGGCTCTCCGCTGTCAGTGCGCCCCCCCCCCCCCATGCACATGCCCCCCCGCCATGCCTGAACCAATGCGCACACCCGTGCACCTGTGCACATGAGTACCACCCATGCCCAGACCGAGTCATGCTTATATGCTGCCGCCCCCACCCCCCTTCCTGCGTGCGTCCATGCGTCCCCTGCCCCTGCCCCTGCCCCTGCCCCTGCCCCTGCCCCTGCCCCTGCCGCGGGCGCCAGGCGTTCCGGCTGCTGAAGCTGTTCCGCGTGCACCGCCTGGGCGTGGCGGCCAAGCAGCTCAGGCACGCGGCCACCAACACCAACTATATGGACGTCGCCATCCTCATGTTCCAGGTCGCTTAAAGCCATCCTCATGTTCCAGGTCGCTTAAATCCATCCTCATGTTCCAGGTCTCTTAAAGCCATCCTCATGTTCCAGGTCACATGCCATCCTCATGTTCTAGGTCTGCTGCTTTGACATGTCATGTTTGCTTAGATTCAAGAAAGGCGCAGCCGCTGCTTTGGCTACTCCGCTGCCTCGCTTGCCTCCACTATGTGACACTCATCCTGCTGTGCCCTCCTCTCCCTCTCCTCCCCATTGCTGCGCCTCAGATCTGCATGCTCTGCCACATAGGCGCCTGCATCTTTGTGCTCATTGGCCGCTTGGAGGAGCCGCCCGAGACATGGCTGGCCATAACTTATTGGAGCACGGATGGCGCATCGCAGACCCTGGAGACAGCACCTCCCGGAGTGGTCTACGTGGCAGCTATTTATTGGTCCATGGTCACGTTCGCGGGGTGCGTGCGTGCCGCCACATCCTTCCCTGCAGCTTCTTGGAAGCCAACCCACCTTAATGGCGTACTTAACTCCCTGCTCAGCCTCTGCTGGATCTCTAATCCGGATGCCACATGCCCCCCCATGCCCCCCCTTCCCTCCCTTGCTCCCCCCCTCCCCAGGTGGGGTACGGCGACATCCACCCGGTGGACACGGTGGCGGAGCGGCTGTTCGCGACGGTGTACATCCTGGTGACGGCCGTCATGCTGGGTACACCATCGGCGAGCTCTCCTCCATGGTCTACGCGCACCGTGTCAACCGCGACGCCATGCGCCAGCGCATGTGCACCCTGCACAGGTGGGGGCATGCGCACACTGCATTGGTGGGGGGCCGCTTGCTCTCCGCCTCTCTCTGCCGCCGTGTGCCTGGGCGCCGTGTGTGCGTTCTGCCATCATCGCTGCCCATCTGCCCCACCGTGCTGCCCCACATCGGCTGACCTCTGCATCCTCCCGCCCCCTGTGTCCTGTGCGCCACGTGCATGCGTGCAGGTTCATCGAGAAGGAGCACCTCCCGGAGTGGCTCGCCAACCGCATGGTGCGCTGCTCTGTCCGCACCGCGCTGTCCCACCTTGAAGCACAGTGTCTGAGGGGTTGTCGTGCCGCGCTGTGTCATGCTGTCAACTGCTTGCTCCATCCCCGTGCCATCGTCCGTTTGCTCCGTATGGTGCCTTACTCGTTCCCCGTGTCTCTGCCATCCTGTGCGCGCTCCAGATGGCGTATCTGATGCGGCAGTGGCAGGCAGACGTCAACAGCAAGTTCGAGGAGCTCGAGCTCATGCAGAGCCTCAGCGTGAGTCACTTGCTATTTCACTCCATCTCTTTTGAACGTTTTCTGGTTAGTCTTTCTTCCCTTGCTGCCGTGCACCCTCACTCCTCACTCCTCACTCCTCACTCCTCACTCCTCACTCCTCACTCCTCACTCCTCACTCTTCACTCCTCACTCTCCCCGCACCCACCTCAAGCCCCCCTCTCTGTGTCTCTGCGCGTGTGTGCGTGCTGGCAGGACGACCTGCGCACGGACCTCTTTGTGCACTGGTGGATGCACCACGTGCCTTCCAGGTCACCACCACCCTTGCTTCCTCCGCCGCCTTGCCCCATCTTGCTCTTGCTGCTCGCTTTCTCCCTCCATCTGCACTCTCAGCTCTCGCTCCCCTTGGTCACGCATCTTCTTACCCTTGCATCCAACTCCCCCACCCTCTCCCCATCCTCCAACTTTCCCCTCTCCCCGTACACGCTCTCCCCCACTCTTCTCCCTCCCTCGACACCCCGGCAGCCCCTTTTTCCCGCATGACCAGCAGTGCCTTGCATGTCTGCAGCGCGTGCTGGTGCCACGGGGCGTGGCAGCGGGGGACGTGATAGCGCGCGAGGGCGAGGTGAGCCGGCACGTGTACATCGTGCGCGCGGGCAGTGTGGAGATGGCGTGGGCCAAGGAGGGCGTGGAGGGGCTGGTGGAGGGCGCTGCGGCGCAGGCAGGCAAGCCCATGGTATGGTGGGGCTGGGGGGGGGGGGTGCAGGGGGCAGGGCGTAGGATGCAAGGGATACGCAGGCTGAGAGAGGGAGCATTCCTACATGGTCAACCCCTTCGTTGTTTCGTTCTCTGCAGATACCTTCCCCCCTTGCGTTGGTGGCATGTGGATAGCACCTCAGCATGGTCGGCAGGTCTGTGAATCACAACCTGCCGCCTCTGCCTTGTTCCCCGTGCTCCCCTGGCGCCACCCAGCTGGGCGAGGAGGGCATGCGCCTGGCGCGCGCGGTGTCCATGCGGCGCTGCGCGTCGCGCGCGCTCCACCGCCCCACCAGCAGGTCGTCCCATGCCAGCCCATGGCTCTGCCGCACTGCCCCATGCCTGCCAATGGTGCCTCGCCGACGCCCGTGCATTGCACGCACGGCACAGATGGTGGTGGTGGTTACTCGCATGGCAGGGATGGCACGGCTGCTGGGCCCCGTGCATGTGACTTGGAGCATGGTGATCGTGGTGATGAGTCACCCACTTCTCTGTGCTCGCCTCGTGTGCGCTGCTCTCGCACCTTCGAGCCCACGCTGAGCGCCATCGAGAGTATGGATGGAAGCAGCGTGCATTGGAGTGGCAGGGAGCGCAACAGAGTGGTGGATGGGGGAACGGGGGGCGCTGCTGTGCTGCCTGGCGATGGCACTGAGCTGCTGCGAGAGGGCGCACCAGAGGGCAGCGCCGATGCCACAGGGGGGGGGCCTGCGACTGGCATGGTGCCAAGGAACCACAGCACAGCGGAGGGCGATGCCAATGCCGCAGGGGGGGCGCTATGGTGCCAAGGAACCACAGCACAGCGGCATCGCACAACAGCTATGGCAGCTCGGGCGTGCGGCACGGCGGCCACGTGGGGGGGCAGGCGGCGTTTGAGAGCAGGACGGTGGGCGTGGGCCATGTGGTGGGGCTGGACGGGCTGACTGAGGTGCTCGAGCTGCAGACCGCCGAACCCTCGTGGCCCGACCAGCGAGTTCCATTCCTCTTCATGGAAGGAACCTTCCAGGTATGTGCCTGGTTTGGTTGCTTCATTGCTTGAGGTTGACAATGCCTGCAGTTTTCAAAAGGTGCATCGGTCACACTGGCTTGCTTTGCTGACCTTGGGTGCTGGGAGGGGTGGGTGTGCGAGCAGGCGAAGACGGAGTGCGAGCTGCTGCTGCTGCTCATTGACGACCTCTTCGACACGCTGGAGAGCTTTCCCGAGCTGCTAACGGCGCTGCGCTTGAGTCTGGGCCTGCCGCTGACGGAGCAGGAGCAGCTGGTGCGCTACCGCAAGGCCCTCAGCGTGCGACGAGCGAGCAACCCGTCTGTGCAGCAGTCCAGGCACATCCACAAGTAGAGACGTCCAAACGGGAGGGGCACGTGTCAAAGATGCAACGTAGTGAAATTATTCTTTATTTATGCTAGTGTAAGCAGCATCTAGGTAGCATAGCATTAGCTTATATTTCTGTAAATACATAGGAAGTTCGTTATTGGTCAATTGGCAAAACCCTCCCTTCATGGCCCTAAAGTCGAAATCGAGGCGGCGGTTGACGATTTTGTGGGGTTGCTCATGCTTGACCTTTTCCACGCCTGTCGTTCAACCATCGACATTGAGCTGCTATGTCGTACGGCGTGGATGGGATGGGATGGGGCGCTCCTGCCACCTGCCACAAGTTCAGAACGGCCCGCCACATTATTCTCCTGCAAAGCTAGGTAACGTATTAACCTGTGGTAGTACCAACAGTCGTCGTCAGTCGCGCGGGTGGAGCTGAAGCACGGCAGGGCAGCGCCGTTAGGGCTCACGAGTATTCGAAGCGGGCGCACTGAGCGGGCGGTGTAGCCCGCGACCCGCGGCGATGGTGACATCAGTGCCGGCGTCGATGCTCATAGCCGAGGTCGCGTCGCACTCGCACGCGCACACCAACTCGCATCCCCTCCCTCGCGCGCCCTCCCGCAGCACGCGGCCATGGCACGCCGCGCTGCCGCACTCCAAGTCGGCCCACGACGACGCCACCGCCGCCCACGCGGCGGAGCGCCGCCAGTCGCGCCTCGACTTCCAGACGGAGCGGCACGACTCGGCGTCGGAGCGGCGGCTGGAGGGCGAGTCGCTGAACCAGCGCATGCTGGACGGCCGCGGGGACGCCGCCGACCACTCGAGCGAGGCGCGCGTCAACGCGTCCGGCAGCTGCTCGTCGCCGTCGTCGCTCGACGCGCTCCCCGTGTCGCCCCTTCCCTTCGACGCGCTGCATCGCTCCGTGTCACGCGGGCGGGAGGGGGCGGAGGGGGATGGTATGACCGGGGGATGGTTGGCGGGGGAGAGAGGGGGAGGGGAAGTGGAACGGCTTCCGGGCGCGAAGGCGCTGTTTGGGCAGCGGGGGTGGGCGAGGCGGTGGCGGTCCGCCAAGGACCTGAGGGGCGCGGATGCGGACGACAGGGCAGGCGACGCGGGCTTGGGTGTCAGCCGCAGTGTGAGCCTCACCCTTGAGAATGGCGCGTCTCCTGCTGCCACGCCGCTGAAAGCACGCCAGCTGTTCCCATGGGCGAAAAAAAGCGCCTCGTCCAGCGCGCTAGTGCTGGGTCGTGGGGACGGCAGTAGCAGCCGCGGCAGCAGCAGCGGCAGCAGCAGCAGCAGGCGGCGGGTTGGGTTGAAGAAGGTGAAGGCGCGGGCGGCCTTGCAGGAGTACATGAACGCGCCCATGCCGCCCAGGCCCTCGCAGCGACGCGACAGCGAACCACCCGACGCGGATCGCATGGGCACGCGGCGGTGGTGGCAGCAACAGCCGTGCGTGGTGCTGTTCTGGTGGGCGGTGGCGGCGGCGCGGCACGTGCGCATCCCCATCATCCACCCGTACTCGCGCTTCAGACGAGACGTCAACCTCGTGGTGGGCGCGTGCATCGCGTACAACATAGTGAGTGGCGTGCATCGCATGCAATGCAACATGCCCATGCCCATGCCCATGCACGTGCACATGCCCATGCCCATGCCCATCCCCATGCCCATGCCCATGCCCATGCCCATGCACATGCCCATGCCCATGCACATGCACATGCCCATGCCCATGCCCATGCCCATGCCCATCCCCATGCCCATGCCCATGCCCATGCCCATGCCCATGCCCATGCCCATGCCCATGCCCATGCCCATGCCCATGCCCATGCCCATGCCCATCCCCATGCCCATGCCCATGCCCATGCCCATGCCCATGCCCATGCCCATGCCCATCCCCACTCCCATGCCTATCCCCACGCCCTTGCCTGCCCCTGCCCTCCCCCCCCCCGCCCTGCGCAGTGGGAGGTGCTGTACATGGTGGCGTTCGACCTGCGCGCCACGGGCGTGTGGCTCATCCTCGACTCCTGCCTCTCTGTCGTCTACCTCGCCGACGTCCTCCTCGGCTTCAAAACCGGGTCCGCCTCCTGGGGTCGAGCGAGGTCGAGCGGGGGCTCTTGGGGCCGAGCTGGGCTGTTGGGGGCGAGCTAGGCACGATCAAAATCGGGTGGGGGGGTTGAAGAAGGGAGTGGGCCCGTGTTTCCTGGCAGCCCCAGCCCCTCCATGCCGCATGTGATGCGTCCATGCCGCATGTGATGCGTCCATGCCGCATTTGATGCGTCCATGCCGCATGTGATGCGTCCATGCCTGCTGTCTCCACCCCTCAATCGTCCGCCATCTCTTCTCTCTGTTCCCTCGTTCCCTCCATCTCTTCCTCTCTACCCCGCGCCCCTCGCTCTCTCTCCCCCCCGCGCCCCTCCCTCTCTCTCCCCCCCGCGCCCGTCGCTCTCCCCCCGCCCCCCCCCTTCCTTGCTGGCAGGTACCTGACGAGGGAGAAGCACATTGTGGCGGAGGGCGGCATCAAGGTGCTGCTGCCACAGCAGATCGTCATGGACCAGGTATGGGCCAGGTATGGAGCAGGTATGGGCCAGGTATGGACCAGGTATGGGCCAGGTATGGAACAGGTATGGGCCAGGTATGGGCCAGGTACGGACCAGGTATGGACCAGGTATGGAGCAGGCATGGGCGAGGTATGGAGCAGGTATGGATGCACCATCCATGTTTCCATCAAGTGGACAAGAAAGAGCCCCCATGTCTTCCTTCCTCTCTCCCCCCCCCCTGGCAGCGGCGCATCATCTGGCACTACCTGCGGTCGTGGTTCCTGGTGGACTTGCTCTCCTCGCTGCCCATCGACCTCATCACCTCCTCCCTCGCCCAGTCCAACGTCGGCTTCTGGCTCTCCGCCGTCAGTCCCCACCCCCCACCCCCCACACCCTCCAAGTGCCGCATGTCCGTCCCCTTCCTCGCGCTCGCCCTTCTTGACTCTCCTCTCTCCCCCTCCTCCTTCCTTCTCTACCCAACCGCACCTCTGGGTTCTCTGCCCCCTCGCCCTCCCTTTCCCTACCCCCACCCCAAAACCCCCCACCCCAAAACCCCCCACCCCAAAACCCCCCACCCCAAAACCCCCACCCCAAAACCCCCCATCCCAAAACCCCCCACCCCAAAACCCCCCCTCCCCCTGGCAGGCGCTACGGCTGCTGAAGTTGCTGCGGCTGCGGCGGCTGGGGCAGGCGACGCAGCAGCTGAGGCAGTCAGCGATAGCGGGGCTCTACATGGAGATGAGCATCCTGGTGCTGCAGGTGGGAGGGAGAGGAGCATCCTGGTGCTGCAGGTGGGAGGGAGATGAGCATCCTGGTGCTGCAGGTGGGAGGGAGATGAGCATCCTGGTGCTGCAGGTGGGATGGAGATGAGCATCCTGGTGCTGCAGGTGGGAGGGAGATGAGCATCCTGGTGCTGCAGGTGGGATGGAGATGAGCATCCTGGTGCTGCAGGTGGGAGGGAGATGAGCATCCTGGTGCTGCAGGTGGGAGGGCAGCAAGTGTGCTTCTCTCTTTCCAATCCTGGACTCATCTCGCCTTTCCCTCGTGCCCGGCCTGCCTTGTGCTCCGCACGATCCGCGCTCTGCTGCTCTCACCCGCCCCCCCGTCATGCCCTCCTCCCCTCTTCCCAGATCTGCATGGTGTGCCACGTGGGCGCGTGTGCGTTCGCCCTGATAGGTCGCCTGGAGTCGCCCCCTGAGTCGTGGCTGGCGGCGTTCTATTGGAGCAACGGGGGCAGCCAGGAGACGCTGGAGAGTGCGCCGCACGGCGTCGTGTACGCCGCCGCCTACTACTGGGCCATGGTCACCTTCGCCTCCGTCAGTGCCTCTCCCGCCCTCCCGCCCTCCCACAACCTGCCCTCCATCCTCTCGTTCCTCTTCGCGTCTTTATGCCCCTTTCCTCCTTTCCTCGTTGCGTGCACCGTGTTGTGCTGCGCTGCGCTGTGCTGTGCTGCGCTGTGCTGTGCTGCGCTGTGCTGTGTTGTGCTGCGCTGCGCTGTGCTGTGCTGTGCTGTGCTGTGCTGTGCTGTGCTGTGCTGTGCTGTGCTGTGCTGTGCTGTGCTGTGCTGTGCTGTGCTGTGCTGTGCTGTGCTGTGCTGTGCTGTGCTGTGCTGTGCTGTGCTGTGCTGTGCTGTGCTGTGCTGTGCTGTGCTGTGCTGTGTTGTGTTGTGTTGTGTTGTGCAGCCCTCTGAACCCATTGACTTAGCCATTTCATGCAACGTACGTTAACCCCACGCCCTCCATCCATCCCCACTCCGTGTCTCACTCCTCCCATCAACTTCCTCGTCTTCTCAAGTTTATCTCTCTCCCCCACCTCTGCCCCCCCAGGTGGGGTACGGCGACATCCACCCGGTGGACACCCTGGCGGAGCGCGTGTTTGCGACGGTGTACATCCTGGTGACGTCCATCCTGCTGGGCTACGCCATCGGCCAGATCTCCTCGCTCATCTACGCCAGCCGCGCGCACCGGGAGTCCGTGCGCCAGCGTTGCAACACTCTGCACAAGTGACGCCTCTCTGCTCTTCTTCCATTGCCCTCTTCTTCCCAAGCAAAGCCTCTCTGCACAAATAGTGCTTCTCTGCACAAGTAATGCCTCTCTGCTCTTCTTCCATTTCCCCTCGTCTTCCAACAACCCAGATGCATGCCTGCCAGTTTCTTGGCGCATGTTGACCGCCTCGTGCCCTGCTTGCCCCCTTAGCCCCCCCTCCAATTACCATCGTAAGCTGCCCTCTCCTCCCCAACATCGCTGCCTCATCCTCGTCCTCTCCTCTGTCCGCCTGCTCCCCCCGCTGTCCCCTCACTGCTCCCCCTGCTGCTGCCCTCGCTGCTCCCCCTGCTGCTCCCCCTGGCTGTGTTGCGAGCAGGTTCATCGAGAAGGAGGAGATTCCCGATTGGCTCGCCAACCGATTGGTATCGTGCTGCCCCTCCTTCCCCTGCTCTCCAACTCCTCTCTCTTTGCCCGTTGCACAATAAGTCTGCCGCTCTGTTTGCGCCTACACCCGCTGCCCCCATCATTCCCTCACGGTCGCCATGCCTTCCTCATCTTCCAACTGTTTCTTTAAGGCCGCTGCTGCCGGCTACTCTCTCTCCCCCTTCCTCTTCCTCCCTTTCCAAACAACCCCCCCAGATGGTGAGCCTGACGGGCAAGTGGCAGTCGGAGCTGTCTCAGCGCTTCCACGAGGGTGATCTCGTCGACGCGCTCACTGTAAGCCAACCGCCCTCGCACTTCAAATAGGCTTCAGCCTCACAACTGTGGGCCTTCAATGTGTGTACCTGTGCTAGATACAGGCGCACTGGGCTAGTAGTGCGTCATCCATGCGGCCTCTCTTCCCCCTCTGTGCCCTCCCTCCCCCCTCTTCCCCCCCGCCCTTTCGTTCGCCCGCGGTCGCCAGGACGATCTGCGCGCCGATCTCTTTGTGCACTGGTGGCAGCGCCATGTGCTGCCCAGGTGAGCTTTGGTGGCGGCGCCCGTGCTGCCCAGGTGAGCTTTGGTGGCAGCGCCACGTGCCGCCCAGGTGAGCTGTAGGGCGCTGTGAGATGAGTCTCAAGAGTAAATTTGCCTGGTCTCATTGTTGTGTCAAATCAAGCAAGCATGCCCTCTTTCTCACCGTCCTTATTCCACCCACCCATCATTCCCCCCTCCCCTCAAACCCCCAGCCCCATATTCCCGCACAGCCCCTCGTTCCTGGCGCATGTGTTCCCGTGCCTGATCGTGCGCCGCGTGGCCCCCGCGGACGTGATAGCGAGCGAGGGCGAGTTCAGCCGCCACGTGTATGTGGTGCGCTCGGGCACCGTGGACGTCACGCGCATCGTGGATGGGCAGCCTGGCGCGCCGGGGGGCATCGACGCCGATGGAACTGGTGCCCTTGCTGAGCTGGCGGGCCATGAGGCTGATGTGGAAGGGCGTGCGATGGAGATGGGTGCAGAGGAGGTGCAGCTACCAGCAGTAAGTCACGGCAGCAGCAGTAAGTCACGGCAGCAGCAGTAAGCTGTGGCAGCTGTAAGCCACAGCAGCAGTAAGCCATGGCAGCAGTAAGCCATGGCAGGAGTAAGCCATGGCAGCAGTAAGCCATGGCAGGAGTAAGCCATGGCAGCAGTAAGCCATGGCAGGAGTAAGCCATGGCAGCAGTAAGCCATGGCAACAATGTGCCATGGCAGCAGTAAGCCATGGCCGCAGTAAGCCATGGCAGCAGTACGCCATGGCAGCAGTAAGCCACAGCAGCAGTAAGCCATGGCAGTCTTCTTTTGATCGCGAGTTGCGTCCTCAAGTGGGCAAGCTGTGCCGTTCCGCGCCCACCAGTCCCACGATTTCCCCACCCGCACACACCCATCTCTAAGTGTGCCTGCTTCTTCTTCTTGCTGCTGCTTCTTCCTACTTCGTCTCTGCACCATCCCCCCAAACCTCTTCCATCCTCTCCCTTGCGTCCCCTTGTGTCTCTTCCCGGCCCCCTTCCTGTCCCACCCACCGCGCCAGTCGGTGGTGAGAGCGCTGCAGCAGCACGGGGGGACGCTGGGGCGGAGCAGCATGTCCATTCCGGCAGCAGGAGTGCGAGGGGCGCTGGGCGGGGCAGTGGGAGGAGTGGGGGCAGCAGGGGGCCCGGGGGTGGGGTTCCTGCAGAAGCGCGCCATGCGGCGGTCGCTGGCGGTGCAGGACACGCTGCCGGTGGGGGTGGAGTACGACAAGGAGAGCGTGGGCGAGGGGTATGTGGCGGGGGGGGAGGGGCTCAAGGGGGCGCTGGAGATGCGCCGGGGGGAGGAGACGTGGAGCGGGCAGCGCGTGTCTGTGATCTGCATGGAGGCGTCCTTCCAGGTACCGTGCCGTGCCGTGCCGTGCCGTGCCGTAGAGTGCCGTGCCGGTTCTGCCTCACACTTGAGGGCGCACGCAGCTCTCAGTTCATCCGTTGCTCGCCGTGCGCCCACCGCACAGCACAGCCCTCACCACGTGCCCCCCCTTCCCCCCCCCCCCCCAAGCAGGCAAAGACGGAGTGCGAGGTGTACCTGCTGCTGGTGGACGACCTGTTTGACGCCCTCGAGAGCTTCCCCGAGCTGCTCACCGCCATGCGCACGGAGCTGAGCCTGCCCCTGGCCCCCCACGAGCGCCTGTCGCGCCCGCGCAGCCTGCACAGCACGCGCAGCTTCCAGAGCCTGCGCAGCAAGAGCCGCGGCCGCCCCACGCCCTTCACGGCAGATGCCACCGCCAGCAAGACCCTCTCGTTTGGCAAAGGACGGGTCATGAGGATTGGAAGCCCAAGAGGTTGATGGAGGGTACACGCGCAACAGTGCGTGGATTTTCATTACCAGGGGTGAGGCTTCGTCATGTCAAGCAGCAGCGTTCAATTGCTTGTCTATATCGCTTGTGCCTTGGATCTTTTGTATGCTCGTTGTTCTGCACAGGTTTGAGAATGTATCAGAATCAGCCTGTCAAACTCTTGGCTATGGCATTTCCATCAGCGCCACAAGTCTCTGGCTCTGGCACAATATGCAGCATGCGCTCTCCCTGTCGTGCACAAGGTTCCATAAAAAGAGCACCTAGCACCAAATACCGCACTGAACCTCCCTCCACGCGTCACGACTTGGCAGCCGCAGCAGCAGGGGAGCCATATCGGGCCATGACTCGCCTCACAGCGGCAGCAGCAGCCTCGCTGGCTGCCAGCCCGCCTGCTGCCATCAGCGCTGCAAACTCCCGCCTGATCTCCGCGTGCACTGCCTCCTTGGCCCGAGCGTCTGCACTGCCTGCTGCTGCTGCTGATGACGCTGATGATGATGTCACTGCTGCTGCTGCTGCTGGCACTGCTGCTGTTGCTGACGCTGCAGGTGCTGCTGACGCTGGAGATGCTGCTGCTGGAGTTGCCGTTGCTGCTGCTGCGTGTGGCGCCTGTGCCTGCCCAGTCGCTCCACTCTGAGTGCCATCTGCATCACCTCGTGTCCCACGCACTACTGCTGCTCCTACTGCTTGCGGGGCCGTGATCGAATGCAAGGGGGGCTCTGGCGCAGTGGCCGTTGAGGCAGGGGTGGGCGGAGAGGTGGGCGGAGAGTGTAGCAGTTGCACGGGGGAGCTGTAGCTGAGGGACGCGCTGATGGGGGACGGCGCGGGGAAGGGCGGGTGAGGCGCGGCGCCGTACTTGAGAGTGGTCTCGAGCTGCTGGAGCAGGGGGGCTGCGGGGAGAGCAGTGCAAGCAAGCACGGACGGGTGCAGGGTGTGAGTGCAGCGGTCACCGCAGGCAGCAATGGTTTCACGGGACGCGGAGAGGACGAAACGCGAGGGAGCAAGCATGAGAGTGAAGCAGCATGGACGTACCCAGCAGGGAGCCCTGCGGGCTGCTGAGCACGCGGCGAGGCAGGTCGAGGATGCGGGAGGGGATGCCGCGGCCCAGCAGGAAGTGCGCGACGTCGTCGCTGAAGTGGTTGCAGTTGTGCGACAGCAGGCTGTACCGCTGCGGGCTGTACCTCGCGCTCACGTCCGCCAGGAACTGCTCGAACAGGTCACGCGGGACCTCCGTGGACCCCAGCCGGATCGCCTCCATGGGCGGTCCGAAGTACGTGCGACCGGGCACGCCGCGCTGGACGCCCGCGCCGAACCAGTACTCCGTGCCGTACGCCACCACGCCCGTGTGGTACACGGCATCTATCGCCGTCCCCAGGAGGGTCTGCGACAACTGACGCGCCAAGCCGTGCGAGAGATCGTAGACGTGAAGCACGACGGAATGACTGCTGGCCTGCGACACGGAGAAAGCACGTCGTGGCGAAGTCAGAAAAAGTGTAGACCTTCCCGAATTACAAGTCAGAGGGGCCAAATCGCGACGACCCACCTCGTCCATTCCTTGGTGTGCGGGATGTTAGCAGAAGGATCAGACGTTGAAACGCTAAACTCAGCACAGCGTAGTAGATAGCTAGCGCTGCGTCTAGGGGCAAGCCAAGAGTAGCGAAGCAATCAGAGAAAAGGAGCGAATGGGATGGAGACGCGGCACAGGCAACGTGAAGTGAAGGTCACGGCAGAGGGGAAATCCAGGGCGAGGCGACGACGGTGGAATGGGAGACACAGCGAACCTTGAAAGTTCCAGAGTCACCGAGAAGGCCTCGTACACCAATCAGAGAAAAGGAGCTTCCAGCCGTCGATTTCGCAAGCAAGGGGCTGACTCTCTACCCTGTGGCGAAGTGAGAATCGGGCCTTTTTCCTGTAACCCTAGATCGCGGTCCGTTCCAAACTGCTGCGTGTGTTTAAAGCCCGCATCTCATGTGGTACAATGGAAGCTAATGTACAGTGGTGGAAACAATTGTCCGTATGTATTGCATTAATTTGGGTTTTTAGGCTTTAAGACCACTATATATCAAGCCTTAATGTTTAATGGTGGTACGATTTGGGAGTTGCACATAGTGGATGTGTTCACATCAAAATATCCAGAATAGTACATTGGAACTCATCTCTCAAAAGATTTACTAAGGATACATCATTACAAATATCGTAAAAGCTTGGATATAAGACCCATATGTCTCCCCGTATGGGTCTTATATGCTTGGGTTAAGTTGCTGTAATGGGGCCGCTTTAAGCGGGGAAATGTGGATGTGGAGTGTCAGAGGGCTCGGCACCTAATGTCTCCCTTATAGAATTTGTTAATAAAAGGGAGGGTTGTGATTTCTACAATGGAAACTTGAGTGGATTTGTTGTTTTACACATTTCTTGAACCTCATGCATTACATTCATTGCCCCCTCCTACCAATGTGGCAGGAAAATAAGGGGGAGGGGGGTATATTATCTCATACCGCTCCAAAATCTGATCTTATAAATGAGAAATCCTAATACAAGATAGACGCCTGATACAAGACATCGTATCTTCTATTCCATGGAGGTCTTATATCTGGGCTTTTACGCTGGTTCCAAGCAGTGAGAGCAAACTTCAAAAGTGTGTTTCTAGTTTCTAGCCCACCGACCTTTGGCCTTGATCACCGCCCGCACCCTTCTAGACGAACTGTCGATGAGGCTAGAGCAAACCTCGGCATGGATCTTCTCCCATTTTTCCTGTATCACATCCCAAAGCTCGAGGATTCCAGAGGAAGGCCTTCTATGCTTGGCCAGCTCCCTTTTCAGGTAAGCCCAGAGGTTGAGGTTTGATGAGAAGAAGGCCTACATACTTATGTTCTCCAAGTCATTCCTGCACTATGCATAACAAATTCTTGGGGTCATTGTCCGCACCGAAATGACATCAGAGGGGAAAATGCTATAGAAATGGAGGGTCAATTCGAGTTCGTCATGCAAAATGCCCTCACACAGGGGCCTCTCAATGCATCCGTCAATCTTGCATATGAACCCCACCCCCGCACATGTCACATATCCCCACACCATCACCAATCCTTATCCCCATGGTTTACCGTCTGTTTGATTTGGTGGTGCTGCAGGGTTGTGCCTTCACAAATCCAGCAAACATGCAGCCATTGGAGCTGAAGCACTTGATGTTGGGGATCATATGCTTTCGAACACTAATTATCCACTCAACATGCGACTCCATGAATTGCAGTCGGCCCCTGATATTTTTCCAGAACAGTCATGGCTTCTACGACTGCTGCACCGTTAATAGACCCACGGACCCTAGTGTGTTTTTAATAGTGCAGAATGCACAGTCAACCGTGCAACGTTACCCTCGGTTTCACGGTGTCTACGCTAGATTTGGCCGCTCTATTCGTGATTTTACCCTACAATGGTACGACGAAGACGATCCGTGATAAGATGGGGCCGACCGGCTAATTGCATCTTTGGCCACACATCAACATGGCTAGTCTCAAAAGATACCATTCAATCCAAAATCGTCCACAATACTCTTGCCTATGCCCATTTTTTCGTGATTTTCCTAGTGCTCACCCCCTTGTGCAAAATGGTGGGTCTAGGAAGAGTGCAAGAAGTTCTCTGCCGAGGTTTCTACTAACCTCGAAGGTAACATGCCTAGGAGGGTGCGGGTGGTGATAAAGGCCAAAGGTCTGTAGGCTATGTACTAGAAATGCAACTCTGAAGTTTGCTCTCTCTACTTGGAAATATTTGTCCGGATGCACTCTTCGTTTATCTTCTGGGATATCAGTTAGATCCAATGTACTATTCTGGATTTTTTTGCTATTAACACATCCACTATGTGCCCATCCCAAATCGTACCACCATCAAATAGTAAGGCTTAATGTATAGTGGTCTTAAAGCCTAAAAACCCAAATTATTGCAAAACATTTTACGGACAATAGTTTCCGCCCACTGTAGGTCCCACCCACCCGCGCTTCCGCCCTAGCCTTCCCTTGCCTAGCTCGTCGCCTACCCTAGCCTAGCCGCACCGCCCTTAGAGCGCCCCCCCCCCCCCCTCTCTCCAGGCCCCAGCTCGCCACCGCGCCAGGCCCTAGCTCGTCGCGCGCCCGGCCCCGGCTCGCCGACGTGCCAGGCCCCCGGCTCGACGCTGCGCCGGCCCTCAGCTCGAGGGCGCGCCGGCCCCCTGCTCGACCCCGCACCAGCCTCTGCTCGCCGCCGCCGCGCCGGCCCCTGCTCGGTGCCACCGCACCGGCCCCTGCTCGAAGCCACGCTGGCCCCTGCTCACAGACGCGCCGGTCATGGTTCCTCTACTGAGCCGGCGTCCTCGCCGGCCGTGCACGCTACCGCGCTCCACCGCTCTCCACCGCATTCCACCACACTCCACCGCACTCCATCGCCGTACACCGCCCTCCACCGCTCTCTATCGCACCCGCTGCCCCTGGCTCCTCCTCTTGTATCCTTCAGCTACTGCAGCTCTGCTGTCGCGCGACCACTGTTGGTGAGATGCATATGCATCTGCTGACATGCGCGTGCGATGGCGGACGGCGTTCTCCACCTGGACGCAAAGGGTCGCCCGGTGGATTTCGAGGCATGGCTCACCGACCAGCACCGCCAGTTGAATAGTCAGCGCCAGGACGGCCAGTCTCTAGCCATCCACATTGATGGTAAGGTGCCCTGCCCTCCCACACATGCTACCCTCGCTGCCGCCGCCACACCTGTTGAGCGTGAGGTTTTCGCAACAGCTGAAAAAGCTCGCTCTGTCTGGGAGTCGTGTGACGTCACTCCGCAGCTAGCTATTAGTCACGCCCTTCCGCTGCCCGAAGCGCCCCTGCTTTCAGGCCATAGATAATGCGAAGGAGGATCTATTGCTTACTATTCCACTCCCTCCTCCGCCTCTACTGGCCTTCTCCTCGTGCCCCTTCTCTTCCCTGACCTAGCTTCATTCCCCACTGTCGCTGATCTGGCCAACCACCAGCGAGCCCTGGAGTCTAGCTACCACACTGCTAGCACTGAGGCTCAGCTCACTGTCCTCCCCCCTCCCTTTCGCGCCACCCTTTATTTCCTAGCCACGCGCCTGTGACACCTTCCTTAGTACACACCCCGCAGACCACG